ACCGGGGTGCCCGCGTCCTCGGAGCGGGCCCACGCGCGCGCGGGAGCCTTTACCTCGGTTGGAGTGGGTCAGGGTGGACGACTGGGAAGACTTGGACTTCTGCCGCTTGACAGTCATCATCACCTGCTCCTGCACGCGTTGCTTGCCCGACGTGCCCGTCTTCATTTTCTGGTCCGAGGGCAGAGCCAGCGTCGAGTTGTCCTGGTTCTGGAAACACTCATAGGCCAGCGCGGTCTTGAGCGGCGAGTGGTTCATGGTGGCGGAGGCGCGGGCCGGGCCTGGAGCGCGGGGAGGCGAGAGGTGCGGCGGGTGGGCGGCGGAGGGCTCTTGGGGCTCAGCGGCTCCCTGTGGCCATACAGCGAGGCTCCGGCGAGGGCTCCTGCTGCTCGCGGCGCCTCCGCCCTGGCTGGTCCCTCTCCAGGCTCTGGCGAGGCCCGCCCTCCGTCAGACTGGATATACGGCCCCTGCCTGCACCACCCACTCCACCCGCCGCGCGCCCGGCCGGGCTCCTGGGGGCAGGGCGCTCCTGAACGCGGGCCGGCTGCCTCTTCCCTTCTCTCCCTCTCCTCCCTCCCCCACGCAGAGGTGAGGTCCCGGGTGACGCCCCTGTGGCCTGTTCCTCCAGCTCAGGGAGAAACTATGTGCTCAGCTCAAGCACCCAGGGACGCTTCTCTCTAGGAAGGAGCCTTTCTGCCGGGCCCGGGACAGCCAGCCACCCATCCCTGTCTGTCCTGAGGTCAAGGCGGAGCCCTGCGGGTGGGGGCTCCCACGCTGGTGGCAGGAGGACAGGCCCCTGTCCCGAGAGATTCCTCCCTTTTATGGGGACAATCCGTTCTCCTGAAAGGCAGCCTCCCGCCTGCAGAGAGTGGGGTGGGGGCACCGAGCGAGACCAGGGACCAGACCTGGAATGGGGGACCACGGAACAGTAACCTGCCTGCGTGGGTGCCCCGGGAAGCACGGCGTTCACAGCGGGTCCTCCTGAAACCCCTGACGTAACCCCTAAAGTAGTGCCTGGTACAAATCAGGGGTTCAATAAAAAAATACCTGTGCGTGGACAAGGCTAATGTGAGATAAATTAAGTCTATCGTGAATCCTACCCAGACCCCTACTGAAGCACCCAAGGTCGGCCTCGCCCATGAAAGGACCCCAGGATGGACTCCTGGGTTTAGGACTGACATGTGCGGTTCTCCCATGCACACCCCTGGGACAAGCGTGCGGGGATACCTCCTTCACGTAGCATCCTCTGCAGGCCCCAGGGTGGCTCACATCAGGTGACCGGTGAGTGACAGGAGCTGAGTATTTTTTAAGGACATTGATGGAAATCTTTGTAAAAAGCATCACACCTTTCGTCACCTCCTTAAGCTCAAGACCCCAAACGAATCTCACGAGCTCGTCGATGACTCAGGGCTCTCACCGTGGACATCAGGACCGAGCTGTGGAATAAACAGTGCCGTTCGTTGGCTCCTGAGTTTTCGGGGCGCACGCTCTCATGTTGTCGTTGGTCGTTACCACTAAGAGCTCTCGCAGCCCTTCTCGTCTGCAGAGGAAGGGACCACCAGAGCCTTGTTGGGACTTCTATGCCAAGGAAGGGTGGAGAAGCCTGAAGGACGGTCTCAGGACCACGTGCAGGTCACACGCTTACTTCCCGGGAAGTGGGTGTTCCATGCGGGAAGCCCCAGCTCTTCCCCCAAAGGCATCCCTGGGAGCCACGTGCTAAGCAGAATATTGTAAAGCACATTATAGTGTCCAATAGAAATAGTTTGCTAATTGAGGGCTGTGCGCCCGAGAACTGAGTGTGTAATAAACCAGAGATGTGACCGACGGTATGTCATAGATACGTAAGTTCAATGCCTGTGGGCCTCTGTCATCACTAAAAATTTTAAGATTTGGCTTCTGGCCCTCGACCACCAGGGCTGACAAAGCTGTGGACACCTCCGTTCTGATGGGGACAGGAGGTGGCTGGCTTGCAGTCACAAGGTAACAGGTGCCACAGCCTCCATTCTGATCGGGCCTGGTGACTCCCAGGCCACTGTCTTCCTCTATACTCACCTGCCTCCCTTATAAAAGTCCAATAAAACGGGCATTAAAGTACTTCGCACCTGGGTTACGTAAGGGCCCTGAAGTACTATAAAGTATACATAGCAGCGCATAAAAATACGGCTACATTGTATCACGCACCTGGCCTATCTAAACCTAATATGCCAGCCACAGTAAATGTTAATTATGTCTTTAAAGAATGATAATTTTGCTACTTTTAAGATGTATTAAGGCCCTGGAGGAGGTGAATGGACTGGCCCCTACTGCTATAAAAGGCCACACTTAGCCCCTGGACGCCAACACAGATTACCTTAAAAATTTTTTCCACGTATGAAGCTCAGTCTAGCTAGACGTCCCTGCTCTAATTGGACATTGATATTATTACTTCGATATATTGACAACAATGGCCAGCGTTTGCTGTGCCCCAGCCACCCAAGCATGGTTCTGGCCCTTTACAAGGACCATCTCATTCGATTACTGACATTAGTCCTAGGAGGTGGGCACCAGTGCCATCACCTTTCTTTTGCAGATGAGGAAACTGAGGCTTGGTGAGGTCACCCAGGTGGTCGGCTGTAGAGACCTAATGTCCTCAGGTGTGGGGCTTGCAGCAGGTCCACTGTGCAGGCCACTGTGCCGGGGAGGGTACAGAGGGCCATGGAGCAGCTCCTAGCTGTGGATGGGGAACGGGAAGTGGAGGGGGGCCTCCAGAGGCCACTCCCCAGGCCCTCATTGGAAGCTCAGCACCTGTGGCCTTGGAACCCCCTGTCCTTGAGGACCCTGTGTCTGCTCACACCAGCCTGCTATGTGCTGGAGGCAGATGGGCGAGGGCTGGCAGCGGGCAGGGAGGGAGCAAAGAGGTTGGGTTCGGCCCAGACGGCAGGGCCTGGATGAGTCCAAGGTGGGCTGGGCCGGGCTGGCGAAGGGGCGAGGCCAGGGCGTGCACCTGGGCCTCCGACACGCCAGGACTCTCTCCAAGCTACCGTTCTGGTCTGTCCAGGCGGCTGGGTGGGGCGGCCAGCACAGCAAAGAATAACAGGGCAGCGGCCCAGCCCGTCCCAACCGGCTGCCGTCAGCACTAGGTCGGCTCTGCACCCCGCCCCTCTGCCAACCCCAAATTCCAGTTCTGTGCTCCCGATGCTGGCATTCCTGGGCACTGCCTTTCTATCTGTCCCCTCCCCCTGGCTGGGGCCTCTAGCTCTCTGCAGGACCAAATGGCGCTAGGGCATAGACTCCAGGGCCTTCCCAGAGCGATGGCTGGGAAAACAAGAACAGGTGTGTGTCTGGCTTTTCCACTGCCAGCTGTGTGACCTGGAACCAGCCACTTAACCTCTCTGTGCCTCATTCCCCACACGTGTAACATTAGGTTAGTAAGACCTTGCAGGGTTCTTGTGACTGTAAATATATATTTAAAAGTATATAAAATGTCTAGCATAGTGCGTGGTGCATTGCCGGAGCTTACTAATACACAGACTTCCTTGCTCCAGCAGCACCTTCTAGCCTAGGCTTGAAGGGAAGGCGTTGCTCCTGCTGCGGGTGCTGGGAGATCGCTAGCACCTGGGAGGTGGGGCGGGGCCCAGGGAAAGGCCGTGGGAGCTGCAGCGCTGGCAGGAACGTGGGGTGTGAGTCCAAAGAGCTGAGCGGGCCCCTGTGCTCTCTCCTTCTCTGTCTCACTGTCACCTGTCGAGCCCCAATCCCAGCCCTGCACAGCCTGGTGGTAATTTGATGAGTCACCCGCCCGCGCCCGCAGACAGAGCAGCCACACCCAGGGCAGCTGGCATCCTGGATGGTGTTTCTGTTCTGAGCTGCTGGGCCGGCAGCCTGCCAGGCCCTAGATGGGCACAGATGGGGAGCCAAGATGCTCCAAGGCCTTGGGCCGGGCTAAGGAGCTGCTGAGTGGCAGAGCCTCCCGTCTGCGTTGCCCCATTGCCAGCCAGGCCTCCTGTGGGCAGCCTGGCCCAGGTGCCTTCCTACTAGGATCACCAATCACCAGCATTGGCCTGGCCCCTCCCAGACCTGTGCTGAGTGGGCCAGGCTTCGGGCTGCTCCTGAGTATCTGTTGTCTCCCACAGTCAAGGGGCCAAGGGAAGACAGGGGTCCGACGTGGTGTGTCCAGCCTGGCGGGACGCTGCTTCATCCCTGCCACCTAACTGTCATAGCTGCCTCCCCTCCCAGCCCAACTCACATGCCCCCTCCTGCACACAGGCCCCCAGACACCACACATACCACAAGGCATTTCTGGGGTGGACAGAGCTGCCGGAGCCCACGGTCTTTGGGGAGGGATAGACACAGTAGTGAGTTGAATGGTAGCCTCCCCCAGAGAAGCCCTGTCCACGATCTAGGCCCCAGAACCTGTGAACGTGACCATATTTGGACAAAGGTCGTTGCAGCTATACAGGATCTCAAGATGAGATCACCCCAGATTTAGGGTTCACCTTAAATCCAGTGGTAACTGTCCTTTCAAGAGAAAGATGAAGAGATGTAAGACACAGAGGAGGAGCCACATGGAGACAGAGGCAGAGACCAGAGCCACGCTGCCCAGAGCCCAGGGACTCCAGGCCCTGGAGAGCATGGCCCACGCTCAGAGCACGGCCACCCCGGGAAACAGAGCCATGAATCTGAAACTGTCTCAGGTGCCTGGCATGAGCTGTCGGCCTCTCACAGCAAACTCACTCAGGGGGTGGGACTCAGGGCTGGCCCCAGGGCACAGAGCAGAATGACATAGCTCCTCAGACCTGGGACCAGGCAAGGGCCTGGGCTCCCGCCAGTCCTGGCAGGCCAGCCTCTCACCCTCTGTGTTTGGCTTCACTCCCTACGGAAAAAGGGGATGCTCCAGTGGCCGTGGGAAAGGGAAACGGCCAAGGCCACGTCACCCTTCACTGGCAGGAATTTATGAAGCCAGTTACGCCTCTGCCAGGAAGTCCGAGGGGCCCACCTCTAACGAAGGATGGGCCACCCTCATTTTCATTCGTTCTCACTTAATGGATGTCTGGGCGACCAGCGCGACACGCGGCAATTAAACCCAGCCAGAAAACACAATGGACTTTGTCTTTCATTCCGAGAGCTTGGGCAGCCTTGGGAGCCCTGGGAGGCCCCACGTTCCACTCCTAGGTGGGTAAACCGAGGCCCTGTCCAGGGAGCAGAGCCAGAACAGGGCTCTGGTCTATTTATCAGTCAGTCTTCTGGCCAAGAACTTGGTTCTGAAGGGCCCTCTGGCTCCCTTGTTGGCTGGGTCTACCAGGCTTCAAAGGGATGCTTAGCGTTTTTCCAGAAAAATCCTCAGGATTAGCTGAGCCTTTGAGATGGTCAGAGTGGGGCCCGGTGCAGCTGCCCAAGCGGTGGGAGGTGGGTGGGCCTTGAGGGAGCCGGAGCGGTGTT